CGATGCTTCTTCCCACGAGCAGACTCCTGTGCGGGGAGGATGTTTTTTGGGGGGGGCGGATTTGTTGAATGGCTTGGTTTGCTCAGCCTGCAGCAGACTTTTGAATTCATGACACGTGTCGGCACATGCAGACTTTTCCTTTTCCGGGCTGGAGGCAAGTTTTGCAAGGAAAGGGGGTTCCGGGAAGTTGCCCGCGTGCAAGGATTTCGGGGCTGTGCATGCAGGGAGTGCGGAGTCCCCAGGGGCCTGTCCCAGCCCTCCCTGCCTCCCTCCCTCCCTCTTCTTCAGCAACCGTTAGGCTGCCCGCTTCTGTAAAGGCGGCCTGGGCCTGGGCCCGGGCCCTGGCCCTCCTTTCTCCCCTCCTGCCTCTGGCACGCTCGGCCTCTGCAGAAGCACTTCCAGGAGCAGCTGCTGGCCTGGCAGCTCTTTGCATCCAGCCAGGAGGAAGGGGGGGGGGGGCTCCGCCTGTGCTTGCCAAGCGTGGTTGCTCCCTCCCAGGGTGGAAAGGGAAGGCTCCTTGCAGGGTTTGTAAAGCCCCGGGCCCTTCCCACCGTCCGAAGCGTGGAGAAGGGCGGCTCTGCAGATCCCAGAGCTCCGATGGTGCTCGGGAAAGCCTCTTTTCTCCCAAAGAGATGCGAGGATGGTGGGAAAAATCGCCCAGGACTCTCCCTGCCCAGCCAGCCATGGTGGATCCAAGCACTGCGGTTAAACACACCATGCCTTAGCACAAGGCCTGAGCCCGGTTCTTCCTCCGCGGAGCCCCCAAACCCCACTTCCTCGCCTTGGGTGGAACCTGGTGCAGACCGGAAATGGCTGGTGTGCAGCCTTTGATCTGAGATGATGGTCAGTTAAGCTGGCCGGGCTGCCTCCTTATCTCGTTCTCCAACCCACCTTGCTGCTGGCTAATCATTCACCCTGTTTCAGATAACCACCGGCCCACCCTTTTCAAAGAGGCAATGACTAAAAAAGCCGGGTTGGTGCTGCTAACAGAAGCCTCCCCCTTTGGCTCCTGGGAAACGGTGCCACCAGACTGACTCCTTCCCCTTTTGGGGTAGATTGGCACAGCTCTCCTTTGCCTGGAAAAGATAACCCAGAAACGGGCTGGGCCGGGGCACTCTCTAAGTGCCTCTCAAGGCCTCAAGACCTGGCATCAAAGAAGGTCACAACCTCAGTGCCCAGGGCACATTGACCTGAAGCTATAGGGAAGCAGATGCCCATAAATATTAGGAGGACTTTCCTTGCAGTTTGACACGGGAACCAGGTGCCCAGGGGAGCTGGGTGAATTTTAGCAGAAACCAGATTGGCTTTTGCTGAGCGGTTTGAATTTGGATTTCTGCATGTCGAGCGGGTAGACTCCAACACCTCTGAGGCTCCTTCCAACTCAGAGTCTACCAGGAAACAGTTTCCTGATCTTGTTTTTAAAGAGGAGTGAGCATCAGGTGAAGCTGCTGATAAACTCTGTAAAGCAGTGTTGTCCAAACTTGGCCACTTTAAGATGAGTGGACTTCAACTCCCAG